CAGAGGGGACAGAGGGACAGAGGGGACAGGGGGGACAGGGAGGATGAGGGGACAGAGGAACAGGGGGACAGAGGGGATGGAGGGACAGAGGGACAGGGAGGATGAGGGGACAGAGGGACAGGGGGGACAGGGGGGACAGGGAGGATGAGGGGACAGAGGAACAGGGGGACAGAGGGGATGGAGGGACAGAGGGACAGAGGGACAGGGGGGACAGCGGGTGACACCGGGGGTCAGCGGCGACAATCCCCCCTCGGTTTTGTCGCCAGGGAGGATTTTGGGGCTCGCCCAGCTCCGGGGCTCGCCCTGCCCCGCGGTTTAAGCGGTCCCAGTTCGCCCCCAGCCCGGTTTAACCGGGATGTCCCCCACCCCCATCCCCGGGTGGCCGCGCGTGCCACGGGTCCCCCGGGAGCGGCACCGGGACAGGGACAGGGACAGGGACAAGGGGAGGGGAGCTGGCGCTCGGCCGCGGCCGCTTCCCGGCGGGGGGAGCGGGGCGGGAGCTGCCGGGAAGGGCCCGAGGCCACGTCCGGTCACCGCGCTCGGTCCCCGCGGGCCCGCCGAGCCCTGCCCGCGGCCACCGGGCAGCGTCCTGTGCCAGCCCCGGCCGTGCCACCCCCGCAGTGCCACCCCCGGTTGTGTCACCCCCATGGGGGTCCCGCGGTGCCACCCCGGGCCGTGTCACCCCGCTGCCACCCCCGCGGGGTCCCCGCACCCACCGGACGTCGGGGAAGTCCCTGGCCAGGGCGCCGACCTCCATCTGCAGCGCGGCCGTGTCCTCCAGCACCAGCAGCTCCCGCAGCCGCGGCACCACCGAGTCCAGCCAGGGCGACGCCGAGTCCTGGGGGACACCGGGGACACCTCCTGTGCCACCCCCGCGGTGCCACCCCCGCGGTGCCACCCGGTTGCGTCACCCCCATGGGGGTCCCGCGGTGCCACCCCCGGTTGTGTCACCCCCATGGGGGTCCCGCGGTGCCACCCCCGGCCGTGTCACCCCGCTGCCACCCCCGCGGGGTCCCCGCACCCACCGGACGTCGGGGAAGTCCCTGGCCAGGGCTCCGACCTCCATCTGCAGGGCGGCCGTGTCCTCCAGCACCAGCAGCTCCCGCAGCCGCGGCACCACCGAGTCCAGCCAGGGCGACGCCGAGTCCTGGGGGACACCGGGGACACCTCAGCGCCCGGGGGCGGCCGCCGGGCCGCGGGGGTCAGCCGGCACCCAGCCGTGTCCCATGGGTGTCACTCAACCCAGCCGTGTCCCACGGGTGTCACCCAACTCAATGATGTCCCATGGGTGTCACTCAACCCAGCCGTGTCCCACGGGGGTCACCCAAACCAGTGGCATCCCACGGGGGTCACCCAGCGCCCAGCTGTGTCCATGGGTGTCACCCAACTCAGTGACATCCCACGGGGGTCACCCGGCACCCAGCCATGTCCCACGGGTGTCACCCAACCCAAAAATGTCCATGGGTGTCACCCAACCCAGTGTTGTCCCACGGGTGTCACCCAACTCAGTGACATCCCACGGGGGTCACCCGGCACCCAGCCATGTCCCATGGGTGTCACCCAACCCAGTGATGTCCCATGAGTGTCACCCAACACCCAGCCATTTCCCACGGGTGTCACCCAACCCAACAATGGCCCACGGGTGTCACCCAACTCAGTGATGTCCCACATGTGTCACCCGCCCCAACCCTACCAACATCCCACAGGTGTCACCCAACCCAACACCGATCAATGTCCCACAGTTGTACCCAACCCAACAATGTCCTTAGGATGTCACCTAACCCACCAATGTCCCATGAGTGTCACCCAACCCAACACCCAGCAATGTCCCACGGATGTCACCCAACCCAACAATGGCCCACGGGTGTCACCCAACACCCAGCAATGTCCCACGGATGTCACCCAACCCAACAATGGCCCACGGGTGTCACCCAACACCCAGCAATGTCCCACGGATGTCACCCAACCCAACAACCCAACTCCCAAGGATGTCCCACAGGTGTCACCCAACCCCCCAATGTCCCACGGGTGTCACCCAACCCAACCCATCAACGTCCCACGGATGTCACCCAACCCAACCCACCAATGTCCCACAGCCACATCACCCACGTGTTGGGCGCCACCCGTGCCAGCCCCCTCCCCAGTGAGGCCCGGGGGTCCCGGGGAGTCCCGGGGGTGCCGGGGGTCTCACCAGGCGCGTGAAGAGCTCGCGGAGCTGCCGGGCCTCGTCGCCCAGGCGAGGCCCGGGGGTCTCGGGGGGTCCCGGGGGTCCCGGGGGGTCCCGGGGGTGCCGGGGGTCTCACCAGGCGCGTGAAGAGCTCGCGGAGCTGCCGGGCCTCGTCGCCCAGGCGGGCGGCCACGCGGGCGCGCGCCTTGGCCGAGGCGCACACCAGGCGTCCCTGCAGCAGCGGCCGCACGTACTCGATGAGCACGCGGCGGTGCAGCTCGCTGACCAGCACCTGGCACGGGCAGCGCCACCGCCGTCACCCGGGGTGGCACCCGGGGTGGCACCGTGCCCGCGGTGTCACCCAGGGCAGCATCCAGTGGTGGCACCGTGCCCGCGGTGTCACCCAGGGCAGCACCCAGTGGTGGCACCGTGCCCGTGGTGTCACCCAGGGCAGCACCCGGTGATGGCACCGTGCCCGTGGTGTCACCCAGGGCAGCACCCAGTGGTGGCACCGTGGTCACCGTGCCCGCGGTGTCACCCAGGGCGGCACCCGGTGATGGCACCGTGGTCACCGTGCCCGCGGTGTCACCCAGGGCAGCACCCGGTGATGGCACCGTGCCCATGGGGTCACCCAGGATGGCACTCAGTGATGGCACTGTGCCCATGATGTCACACGGAGTCACACCCAGTGGTGGCACTGTGGTCACCGCGCCCGCGGTGTCACCCAGGGCAGCACCCAGCAATGTCCCATGGCCATCGTGCCCATGGGTATCACCCAACGTCACACCCAACAATGTCACGGTGTCCCCCAGGTGTCACTCCACCCCCGATGTCGTGGTGTCCCACAGCTGTCACCCAACCCCTGATGTCACCACGCCCTACAGGTGCCACCCAGTAATGTCACGGTGTCCCCCCAGCTGTCCCCCACCCCCAATGTCATGGTGTCCCCCATGTGTCACCCCACAGTGGCACAGTGTCCCACAGCTGTCACTCAACCCCTGATGTCACCATGTCCTACAGGTGCCACCCAGCAATGTCACGGTGTCCCATAGCTGTCACCCAACAAGGGCACAGTGTCCCCCAGCTGTCACCCAAACCCTGATGTCATGGTGTCACCCCACCCCTGATGTCCCGGTGTCCCCTGCTGTCCCCAGGTGCCCCCAGGTGTCTCCCAGGTGTCCCCAGGTGTCCCCGCCCACCTGGTGTGGCTCGGGGTGCAGCGGCCGCAGGGTCTGCGCGAAGCCGGTGACGAGCATGACGATGGCGTCGAAGGCGTCCGAGCTCGTCAGCCACTTGCGCTTCATCAGCTTGCCAAAGTGGGGCTGGGGGCGGCACGGGGGCGTCACCGCAGCGCCCCCGCCGCCGCGGCACCGGGGCGGCACCGAGGGGGGACACCCGAGTACGGGCATGATGTCCCGCGGGTGTCACCAGCTCAGCACCCGATGGTGGCCGCCATGTCCCATGGGTGTCACCAACCCAACACCCAATGATGGCCACCATGTCCCACGATTGTCACCCAAGCCAGCACCCAGTGATGGCCACCATGTCCCAATTGTCACCCAACACCCAATGGTGGCCACCATGTCCCATGAGTGTCACCAACTCAACACCCAATGGTGGCCACCACAGCTGTCACCCAACCCAACACCTGATGGTGGCCACCATGTCCCACAATTGTCACCAACTCAACACCCAATGATGGCCACCATGTCCCAGTTGTCACCCAGCACCCAGTGGTGGCTACCATGTCCCATGGGTG